AGCAGGCAGGGCGCCAGCAGGCAGGGCACCAGCCCCATATACTGAGAGTAGCAGGTCAAACCTGGCCCTGGCCAAACTGCAACAAAAAAATAGCTGGTGTTGTGGCGGGTGCCTGTAGTCCTAGCTACGCGGGAGGCTGAGGCAAGAGAATCACCTAAGCCCAAGAGTTAGAGGTTGCTGTAAGCTGTGTGATGCCACAGCACTACTGTGGACGATAAAGTGAAAAAAAAAAAAAGAAGAAGAAGCGTAAGACCTGCGTGCAGTGCCTATAATCCCAACATTATGGGAGGCAGAGACAGGTAGATTGCATGAGGCAAGAGTTCGAGACCAGCTTGAGCAATATAGCAATGCCATCTATAAAAAAATAAAAAATAGAAAAATGAGCCAGGCGTCATGGTGCGGGCACCTGTAGTCCCACCTACTTGGGAGGCTGAGGCAGGAGGATTGCTTGGGCCCAGGAATTTGAGGCTATAGTGAGCTATGACCCAAGCTACCTACATTCTAGTCTGGGCGACAGAATGAGACCTTCTCTCCAAACAACAGCAACAACAAAAGAAAAAACCCCAGAAGCATAAGGAAGAGAACTAAATGCAAAAGAGAGGAGTGGGGAGATTAGTTCAGTCATACCTGAAACGAGGGATGGGATGGTCTACATCTGGTCTACAACTAAAAATGTATGAAAAGAAAAGGAGATGGTTCCCCTTCAAATTTAGAAGTCTAAGCTAAGCTCTAAAATGGGAACTCATTTGGTTTATGCTGAATTAAGTAAATAAATAAATAAAAATAAAACGGGTACTCGAATGAGAAAGGTTCTAACTTAGTGGGAAAAAATACCACCGGGACAGCCAACAGTACCAGGCAGGCATCCAAGTATCTCTGCTTTCAGCTTGGCAAGAATCACATGTGTCATGCATATTCTGTGACTCTCAAACCCTCTCAGAGCCGGGGAATATGGTTTTTTGATGCACTGAGCTATGTAGCTGTGAGGACTCCAGGAACCAGTGACTCACCAGGAGTGTCAGTGACGCATCAAAGGAGGTTTCCCAAGAAGTGACAGAGGAAATCTCCTTTGTCCTCCACAACCTGGGAAGACCTCTGAAGACAGGGCTCTTTCTGTCTTTCCCTTTGACTGGGTGGTAGATTCAGATCAGCTTGGCAGCCTGAGTGGGCTGGGGATGACTTTCTGAAAACAAGTTGCCCACTTCCTACAGGTAAGAGACACAAGCTGTGGGGCGGGGGCGGGGATGAGTAAGGATGAAAGGAAGGGGTGGTGTGGGAGCCCCCTTTCTCTTTTGAACAGGGCTTGTGGGTGCCACACCTGCAAGCTGCTTCCCTCTGAGAGGAAGGGGGAGGACAGTGCTGCTCCTAGACTTTTTACCCAGGGCATTAAGGCCCATGCCCGACAGAGAGGGGAAGAGGCAGAGGCTCCCCTTTCAGAGAGAACCTAGGCTCATAGAGCTTATGTAGCTCACTCAAGTTCCTCCAGCTAATAAAGAGTTGGGCCAAGTTACGCGGCCCCCGCAGGCATACCTCACAATGTGGTATGGATTTTTTAAATCACAACTTATGAACAAATCTCTCATGTGTGGATATTTTTATTGATTTCAATTTTTTTTTTTTTTTTACTGTAACAATGACCAGAGCCCCTTTGAAAAGAAGTTACTTGGTTTTTTTTTTTAAACTTTAGGTTTTTTCCCCTGTCAACGTGACGACGTGATTATTGCAAAATTTCACATAATACAGAACTGTGCAAAGCAGAAATGGAAATTCCCCACAGAAACAGCTTGGAATATATCTTTACAGACCCTTTTCTATGTATGTGACACAAATATACCCAGAGGCCTTAATATATCGTTAGACAAAAGGAGATCAAATTTGCAGAATATGAAAAGATTCAATTTTTTATATTCTATTTTATGTATTATATTCTAAAGATTTCAATTTTTAAAAGAAATATGTGCAGAAGAAAGAATAAGACACTTTCAAACACCAATTTTATATGTTCCGGCAGTGTTCTGTTCTTTACTAAGCTATAATCTATACCTATGCCCATAGCTATTAACACATCACGAGTGTGCAAATTGATGACTTTTTACAAATGAAACACCCATATTCCCTGGCAGAGAAGTGGAACTTGCTGATTCTCAAACCTCATGTTCCCTTTTAATGATCCCCCTTGCACCAAGGATAACCATGTCCTGACTTACAACAACATATGTTTGTTTCGCCTATTTTCAACTGCGCTTGAATGTTAACAGTGACCAACTATGGCACCATGTAGTATATGAAAATGAGATACATCTGTTTTTAGAATTTCTTCACCTAGAGTGGCCTTCATTCCATGTCAGCATACATGGCCCTAGCTCATTCCTTAACAGCTGCATGAACTTCCTTATAAGGCTGTGGTGGGATTTATCTGACTGGTCCCTTTTGATGGGTATTTGGATAGTTTCCATTTTTTGGCTAAGGAACAACTTGAAGTGTGTTTCTTTGTACGCATCACTTTCCGATGTGTTTCTTTAAGATAAATGTCTACAAGCCTTGGCATGGTGTCTCACGCCCATAATCTTAGCACTTTGGGAGGCCAAAGGGGGTGGACTGCTGGAGCTCATGAGTTCGAGACCAGCCTGAGCAAAACCAAGACCCTATTTCTACTAAAAATAGAAAAACTTGAGCCCAAAGAGTTGGAAGTTGCTGTGAGCTGTGACACTACCAGCACTCTACCCAGGGCAACAGCTTGAGACTCTGTCTCAAAAAAAAAACAAAAAAGATAAATGCCTACAAGTAGAATTGCTACCCAAAAGATAGCTAGATTAAATGTGGGGGGCATATTTTGCCAGAATTGCCCTACAGAATGTAGTGACAGCTCAGTTCCTTCTTCAAAACCAAAGGCAGGTGCTGGGTGCAGACCTCCTCACCGCAGGCCCTGCTGCTGACAGCCCAGCCTGCTCCGGCTCCCTGGGCGGCCAGAGCTGCACCAGCTGCACGGAAAACAGACAGAGGAGCACATACCACACCTGCCCCCAGCCTAGCCCCAAGCAAACTTGCAAACAAGTAAATGCAATCACAAGAGACATGTCATGTATCAGAGCCTGAAGTGGAACCAGGGGCCTTGAGCCTGTTCTCACTTCCGCTATGGACTGGGTTTGAGCCTTCAGGGAGGGCAGGCTGCATGAGGTTGGGCCTCAGTCCCTCTTCAGTGACATTAGATGGCTTGGACGGGGGCCCACCTAAAAAATGAATGTTAGGGGAGTCCAGCCCAGCCCATTCAGGCTCTTTTCACCCCTCCCTTCAGCCTTGGAAGGCAGCCTGCCCAGGTTTTCAGAGCTGATGGGCAGAAACTTTTGCTTCTCTTGAACACCTTCTGCATCTAAGCCTTCCTAACTCCCACCCACCACACCTGGTTCTGCTGTGGCTGCATGCCAGATGCCAGGAGGTGGCCACATTGCCCCCTCCCGCGAGTTATCTTTGCTGTTTTCTGCAACGTATTTTATGTTTGGTGGCTGCCAGAGGCCTCTGAGCATAACTTGGTTTGTCAGTGCCCTTCTTTGAGCTGGCCAGGAAAATCAGGTAGGACTGGATTCTCCTTTAACCTGGACCAGCTATCAATGCAGCCCAGGCTGTCTTTTTTGGCTCAGTAGCTCCCAGGCAGCTAAAGCCTGGGTAGGAGGGCTATTAATAAAAGACCAGGGGGTGCGAGGGCTCTCATCTGTACTCTCAGCACTCTGAGAGGCTGACATGAGAGGACCGCTTGAGCTCAGGAATTCAAAACCAGCCTGAGCAACATAGTGAGACCCTCGTCTCTACTAAAAATAGAAAAATTATCCAGGCATTGAGGCAGATGCCTGTAGTCCCAGCTGCCTGGGAAGCAGAGGCAGGAGGATCACTTGAGCCCAAGAGTTTGAGGTTTCTGTGAGCTACACTGATGCCAGAGCACTTTAGCTTGGGCAACAGAGTGAGACTCCGTCTCAAAGCAAAAAAACAAAAAAAGACCCAGGGACTTTTTCAAAGTCCCACTCCAGTTCAGCACTTTCTCCTTCCGATTCCCTTCTCTGTCAAGGCTAAAAGGGTTTTAAACAAAATGAGTGGACACATGGCAGAGATCCTGATGCCTTTCCTCTTCTCTTCAGTGCAAGCCTGACTTAAGGTCAGGAGTCCCTGGGGTTTAACCCTCCAGAGTGTCCATGAAGGCAGCTTGGGAGTGGGCTGGGAGGAGGCCGTCCTCGGGGTACCTGCAGCCTGACTCTGGGTGCCCTGGGGGCTTCCCAACCTTGATAGCTTCTCAGCGCCTACAGTGTCGGCTATAGCATGTTGTGGGGGCAAAATGAGGCCTTACAGATTTTATCCTTGTTATTTCTTTTGTACTGAGCATCACTGACTTTGTTGTAGATGAACTTTTGCAATTTTATGTCACAGGAGCCATTTTCATCTTTAACCCAGGACTTTATTTATGGAACCAAGAAATTTTCATAAAAAGAACAGAAAGTAAGAGAACCATGCAAGCCATGGGAGAGCAGAAGGGAGAGTTGAGAAATGTCCTAATAGGAAACAAAGTGAATTCCTCAGAGACGGTCACGGTTGCTGCGAGCTGGGCAGCCCCTCTCAGGAAGACTCATTTCTAACCCGGGTCTGGTTTCTCTGTGAGGAAAGTCAGCTTCACCCAGGAAGACCAAGAAGGGGCCATCCCAGCACCATCCTGGGACCCAACGTCACTGCCTTACTAAGGCAAAACAACTCAAAGATACCAAAGGTCTCAGCTCAGCCCAGGAGCTGGAAGTGGCGTCACGGCAGCATTTCCTGCTTGGTCTTCCAGCATATTCCATTAAGGACGCTGGGGGCTCTGAGGCCTTCTCTAGAAGATTCCCATGACCCATTACCAAGTTGCTCCCACAGATGTGGCCCACAGGAAGGACTTGCAGTAGTTAAAAGCAGGCAGCTCCAGCAGCCAGTGAAATCTCCACAGCTAAATGTGTCCCCTCTCTCATTTTTCCAGATCCTGCTCATTGCTGACCAATGTCTTTCTGAAGCAGGACACCAAAACTGTATTCTCCATTCATTTGTAAAACCTGAAAACAACAGCAAGTTGTGAAACCACTTATCTTCAGGCAAGTTATATTGAATTTCCTGCAACAGAGGCAAATGGCAAAATGAGGGTGCCAGGCTCTACTCCAAGCAGGCTGGGGCCAAATGTCGTGTGTCAGTAGGTCTTTAGGGCCCATTTTAGTAATTTTTTTAAAAAAATGTAAAAGCTAAAAAACACAAAAACAAACAAACAAAAAACCTAAAAGCACAGCCCCCCCCACCCCCCGTTTTAGAATAGTGTTACTTCCTGCAGTACCTCCAAGATAAGCTATTCACAGATGTACGTTAAGTGTCCAGAAGACATTGGCCTGCTGGTAAGATGATTTTCTAAGGGGAGTTAGAGGCTGGGGAATATCTACCTTAGAGTGCAACTCAAATTTGGACAGCTGATTCAGGAGGCATAGGGACTATTTCATCTACACCTGGATCATGACAGCAAAGCCAGAGGTGGTTTGCAAACATTTTCTTAGCCACAAACTTTTGTTCAAATGACATCTTACAGGTAATCGTAAACACACACATACTTGCTGTTTCAAGAAGCGAAGCCGGGCTCGCCTCTGTCGGCCTGGAGGGAAAAGCAAGAGCTGGTCAATGTAGGCTGCAGGCCACTGAGACTGGGCAGGAGGGTGACAGGGGCAGTGAACACCTCTGTCCACCGTCCTGGTGCTAGCCTCTTTCCCAAACACCTCAACACTATCTGAAACCTGCGAGTTGCATATTACTCCTAAGATCTCTATTTTATATACGGGGAAACTGAGGCACAGAATGAGTGAATTGCTGAGTCGCATCCCCAAAGTCATACAGCCCGTAAATGGTATAGCCAGAATTCAAATCCAGTTAATTAAATCCAGGGTCTCTATCCTTAAACATGCTGTCTTGCCCTTCACAGCAGGTCAGAAATGTGAGGTCCTGTAGGCAGACCATCTCAGGCTAGGGTACACGCACTCGGGGCATGAGCGAGATTTCTCATCCAAAGGTAGGAAGGAACAAAAGCATGTCTGGTTACATTTTTGTTTCATCCTTTATTACCTTTTTATTTTTGAAGCACATTTAGTAACACACATAATATATTAAATATAGCTAACTGCATTTAGTGCTTACAATTTTTAAATTTTTTACTGATGAGGTTCTTGATCAAAAGAGTTTACAAACCATAGACCTCAATGGATTCTGAGAACAGGGTACACAGATCCCTTTGTGCATGGCAACTGTGTGTAAAAGTGTGCTCCTGGCTTATTTCTCTGGGTCCATAATTGTCATCATATATGCAAAGGGGTCTGTGACTTGCAAAAGTTAAGAGCCACTGATCTAGGCTCGGTGCCTGTAGCTCAAGTGGCTAAGGCACCAGTCACATACACTGGAGCTGGTGGGTTCAAATCCAGCCCAGGCCTGCCAAAAACAACAATGACAATTACAACCAAAAAGAATAAAACATAGCCGTGC